TCAGGCCCTTGTGCTTGCCAGGGAAGCATTTATTCTACTGAGCCATCTCCCCAGCCCACCAATTTCTCTAGGAAAGTAAAGGAAGAGGTAAAATAAAATAGAATGACAAAAACAGATTTCTGAATTTGTCTATTGACCTTACTTACCAATCAGAGATACCCCACAAAGTTCAGGGAAGCTATTTTTTTTTTTTAGAAATATTATGTGGGTTATACTTTTACACAGATATCATAGTCATAACATAAGGTCAGACATCTCTAGCTAATGCATAGAGTTTTGCAGTAGGAGTTCCCCTTCAAGATGATTTAGTTCGGCCCCAGTAATGAGGAATTTAGTCCAGGCTATGGTAGGAAAGAGAGTATCGCACCAGCCCTCGACCCTGTTCCTGTGCCTTGGTCTAGGGCCCATAGAAAAAAACCGAACCATAACAGTGAATGATTCTGCCACCTGCTTCCTGTTGTCTTTTTCTAGCCACTCTGTCTACCTTCCAAACCCTGATCTAGGACACCTCAAAGCCCAGAGCAAGAAACATCTTGGTTCCCAATAGCCCGTTTGTTTGCATGTCTCAAAATAATCCTCATAGGTTAGAGTATGTAGTAATTATTGAATCACTGGGTGTGCATAACCCCAAGATGCCAGTTAAGTCATACATATTAAAACTAGCTGGCACAGTTGCTTTCATTCACAGAATAAAAATACCTCTCTCAAAGAATATGTGTAGGACTGGGGTGGGAAAGGGCGGATGGAAGTTTTCAGTTTGGAATTACAGAATTTTGTTTTCTTCTGTCTTAGCTCATATATTTGTGGAAACAAAATGAATAGAAAAATATCTTTGCAATGTAAGCATTAAACAACTATAAGATTACATAGTCTATTTGAAATAAATATAAATTATTGAATATCAGGCCCTGAGAACTCAGGAGGCTACTAATGCACAAACGAATAAATAAATATTAGAGTACCGTCCAGGGCTTCTTTAGAGTGTCTATACAGGAAGGGTTTCTCTGAGAAAGTGACAAGAAGCCAAGAGCCCAAAAGCAGTAAGAAACCAGCAATGCAGATTTCACAGAACAAGAGGCCAACACAGGGGCCGGGGAGGTGGCTC